GAGCTGCTGACTTTCTCAGGCATTGCTCCCTGTTGCGTGGCTATTGCACATATCCTCCAGGGAGAAGTCCTCTCTCGCTCCCTATATTTCTGTTTCCCTCTCTCTCTCTCTCTCTCTGTGTATCCATTACTTGGACACTCCCTCTCTCTTTCACCCTGTGTGTTCTCCCTCCTACCTCTTTCTTTCTTTATCTCACTTGGTCCAAGTTTTGTCTCCATGCCCTCACCCCCTCCCTGCCTCAGTTTACCCTCTGTCTCTGGCTGTGTGTGGAGTGTACTGTGGCTGAACTGCACCTCCTTGTGTTAAAACGGGCACATCACAAGTCAACAGTAAAGGTAGCAGCTATCTCAGAGCAGTGCGGCTGCTTCAGTCCAGTATCTCTGAATCTCTGGGTCATGTCCCAGAATAAGCTGTTGGCCTGTTTCGCTTCAGTTCCCAAATGACGAGACAATTAGTGTTTTTAATTAGCCGAGTTCTCAAGAGGAGAAGCCTATTTATCTCGGCCTGGCTCTCATCTGGAAGTGTAAAACATCAACAGCATAAACAACATATATTTGAATAAAAGAAAACCTCTCTGAGGAAAAATCTCTAGTTCCTATGAACACCTGTCATGCAAGGTAAAGACTGTTTTGGTCAGGTAACACCAGAGGGTGGTAGCATCAGCTTGAGCCAGGGATTTCACACATACTGGGATACACCGCCATAATACAAGACGTAAGAATACAAAGAGGACGTGTAAGCAGAGCTGGAATGAAAGTCATTTTTCCGAACATCCAACGTTGAGTTGGACATTTTGCTACATTTTATTTATAGAGCGCTTTTCATGGTACTCAAAGACACTTTACATTAAAAATTATCATGAAATAGACTATAATAGAATACACACGGCATCCGTCACAAATTAAAAGCAGTTTTGAAAAGATGAGTTTTGATGAGTGATTTGAATCAGGAGAGGTCGGTGCAGTCTCGAATGTGTTTGGGGAGTGAGCTCCAGAGGTATGGGGCGGCTGTAGAGAAGGCTCTGTCGCCCCAGGTTCGGTGCTTGGTCCTGAGAGGTGGAGTGAGGAGGTTGGCATCAGAGGATCAGAGACTGCGGAGAGGAGTGTGGTGGTGGAGCAGCTCAGTGAGGTAGGAGGGGGCCTGGTTATGGAGGGCTTTGTGAGTGAGGAGAAGGACTTTGAATTGGATGCATTGTGGGGCAGGAAGCCAGCGGAGGTTCTGGAGGACAGGGGCGATGTGATCGTGGGAGAGGGAATGGGTGAGCAGCAGAGTTCTGGATGTACTGGAGTTTATTTAGGAGTTTGGATCATGTACCATCCAGGGGGAGAGTGATGGGTGGAGACAAGCTTTATTTTTTAGGTGGGAGAGATCTATATATTAATCATAGCTCTGAATTGTTGTTTGGTGAAAGTGGTAAAAGAAGTACTCCGACCTTTTATTTAAAAATATTCAGTTTTAGTAAAAGTCTTTCATTTGAAATATTTCTTAAGTTAAAGTAGAGAAATGTAGCAGCGACATTTGCTTAAACGGTAAGTTGAGTATTTTTCAGCCAGGACCCTATTTTCTGTCATTTTTTTAATGTCTAAGTGACTAATGGGAACAACAATTTTTGAAACCAGTCCAGTATTGAGCGAGAGCACTGCAACTAGCAGCTGCACAACAGGTTGCAATCTTCACATCGTCAATTTCCGTCCACTAATAGTGTTAGTTTTTGCCACTGACAGGTTCACATTGTTATTTTAAGTGTCTGACAACATTATGGAAATGATCCCGACAGAGAAAGACCTTTTTGTTAGAGTGTAAGATCCTTTTTGTTCAACCAGAAACAGCCCTGAAATAGCAATTGCCAGTTCCATCAGATTCCATTTAAGTAAACAGTAATTTTAGTGTGTATAGAGTCAGCATGTCTTCTCATCTAACTGGGAGAATTAAAGGGATAGTGCACCCAAAAATGAAAATTCAGCCATTATCTACTCACCCATATGCCGAGGGAGGCTCGGGTGAAGTTTTAGAGTCCTCACAACACTCGCGGAGATCCCAGGGGAGAGGGGGTAGCAACACAACTCCACCTAATGGAGGCTTACGGCGCCCCAGATTCAAACGTCCAAAAAACACATAATTGAAACCACAAAATATCTCCATACTGCTCGTCCATAGTGATCCAAGTGTCCTGAAGCCCCGACATAAAAAGTTGTTTGGAAAAACGTCATTTGAACTCTGTTTTTAGCCTCATTGTAGCCTGTAGCTCTAACTGCCTCTCTATGCACTGAGGTCACGTGTGCGCGCTTCATGTGTGTTCACATGCTTTCTCTGGCCTCAGCATATGGGTGAGCACACAATGGCTGAATTTTCATTTTTGGGTGCACTATCCCTTTAAGGGTTTATTTCAACCAAACCAGAGTTGGTGATTGTTGGAACAGCGGACAGACGAACCAAGACGACTTTTGGGTGTTTCATTTTGTTTCTGTTGACTTTGAATGAAGTGTGTTTTACGATGATAAATTTATTGATTTTTGGAATGAAGTCTGTTGAGTTTGGCAGCAAACAGGATCTTACTCTCCAACAAAACTGTTACTCCATGTCAAAATCCTTTTCATAAGTCTCATGAACGCAGTATCTCAAGAACACCTGGAGGGAATTTCTTCAAATCTGGCAAAAGTGTGTCCACTTGGAGTAAAGGATGAAGTGAAAGGTCCCTGTGACTTCACAAACATGTTTTTAGCCATAACTCAATAATTCATACGCTAATTATGACAAAATGTCACATAAACATCTAGTAGGATAAAATTACAAAGCAATGACATTTTATATCCAAAAGGTCAAAGGTCAGCTTCACTGTGACATTATAATGTTCTGCAAAAACACTCTTCTGGCCTTTATTCAACATCATATCTCAGGAGGGATACCTGATTATTTCAGTAAGTTGTTTTATTGTTATGTTATTTGTGCTGCTGCCTATCTCAGCCAGGACACTCTTGAAAAGAGATTTTCAACGTCAAGGTAACTTTTACTCCTTGTTAAATAAAGTGTTTTTTTTTTTTTACTGGAAACATATCTTCTACAAATACTGGATAATAAGTCAAAAGATAATACCTTTGGTTAAAATAATGTCCAGTAAGTGTATCCTTGTTTTTGTTTTGTTTTTTTAAAGCACGTGCTGATGTAGCCTACTTTCTGTTGGGAGAAATCCATGGCTGTGTTTCACCACATGAGGGCGCTGTTGTTATAGTAACCTCCTTAGCATATGCTAAAGAAGCATACAAGGTGCATCACCGCATCTTGACTGAGAGGCTGCAGATGACAGGTGGAAAAACAAGAAGAGAGCAGACAGGAAATAATTCAGTCCAGCCTGAGGGTTATTTACCGACTGATCGGTCGGACCTGTTTTTATGTTGTCACATATTCTAATCACCCAAAATCTGTCTCTTTGTTTCATTGTTTATTCACCCGCTCAACCTGACTTTGACCGACACCCGCCCACTGCGGAATCAATCAGATGTATATTGAAGGCAGCCAGTTAGATCACTTCAGCCTAGCTCTCTGTATGTATGTGTATGTGTGTGTGAGTGTGTGTGTTGGGGAAGTTTAGGGCCCCCGGGAGATGAAAGGCGCGCTCTCTGCTCAGCACTGCTGCGGGTCTATTATCATGCAGAGACGAGTGACATCCGACTCTCTAATATGAGAAACACCCACAGAAAGCCCAACATATCGCTCCTTACAGGGCATATACTGATGAGAAGATTAGAAAATGTCTTGAGGTACAATGTTAAAATAAACCCTCATAAGCCTTTAGAGTGACTTGTGTCAGTGGGAAACTGTCCATGGTGATAAGTGTGAAGCAGCAGGATATTTAAAGATGAATTTTACTTTCCATTTGCGTTTTTACGCACGCAAAATAGGGATCAGCGACCGGCAAACTGGATGTACTGGTGCGTATTTGTAGGTTTACCAAGCCTGTACGTAATTTCTGTGATTGTTCGTGAACTTGGTGACATTGTTGCTTTCTGATTAGTCTCATAAAAGCCATACTAAAGCTAATAACCTCCCATTTTTACCGGTGAATGTCTTAAAAACCTCCGAGAGCATTTACTCCAGGTTTTTTGGGGGCTCCCCTGACTAATCTCCCCTCCGCGTCCTCCTCTGGATGTGGACGCACTCTTTTGAGAAATCACATCAAAGAGCCTGTTCCTCTGCAGGTTCGCCGCCCAGTTTGTCTTCAGGCCGGGGATATGAATCGAGGAGAGCTCGCTTCAACACGCCTTTTCTTTTTTACTCCAGGACTTTTCAGGACTCCTGACCGTCTGTGGTGTGTGTTCGTGCGTAAATGTGTGCGTTGTGTGTGGGAGGCGGGGTCGCGGTGTGTTGCCTTTTATTTTCACAGACCAAAGAAGGAGGGGGATTAGGAGGTTTTTTGAGGCGCTCACCTTTTATTCAAACAAATTATTCACTTCGGATAATGAAAGGAATTTGACTCACGTGAACTTTTGGGAGGTCGGTTGGGGTTTTGCGGAACGCTCAGCCCAAATCGCTCATTATTTTCCTTCTGGTTTCTACTTTAAAAGACTGTCCTGACCATATTTGAGCCCATTTTTAATAAAGAGATGTTGCACAAAAGTCACTTTTTTAGTTTTTGTCAACTTGAGGAACGGATGATTCCCGGATGGACAATTAACTGATCACAGGTCAGATGATGAAGGCCTTGTTTGGAGACGTGTAGCTGCACCAAAAACCACAATTGCTTTTGCGCATTTTGTTCATCCAAAACTTTCACAGGTGCATCCAGGCTTGGCACAGCATTCAGAGTTACCCAAATCCACTGACCATTTGGTGTTATAACTTTGCGCACGCACATTGGCCCCATGCGCGCGCAATGTATGGCCAAGCAAAGAGAAGGAGGAGGGCAAGGGGGGTTTCTGAGGTGAAGTGGGGGTGAGAAGAGGAGGAGTGTAGACTACACAGAGGGAGAACAGAGAGAGATGTGGAGTGGTCGCGAGGGGACAGGAAGGGAAAGGAACAGTCGCTTTGCTGCTCAATTAGCGTTTTAATCTCCTTGTTAATCTTTCCTCAAGACAACAGCGGGATCACATTTACACTTTTCACATTTAGCCTTGTTTGTGTATTTTTAGAGACAGCAGGAGAGGGAGGAATCCTCTCGCGCTTTGCGTAAAACCAGATACCAAAGCATTTTACGCACGAGTTTGAATTGGCGTTAGTGAGCTGGATCTTTTTTTTAAACAAGCAGCCTCTGATGTATTGAGGGATAATGCAGTAATTTCACTTCGACACAGTTTTGATTTATATTTTTAAATACTAGAGTTGGGAGAAAAGGAGAAGACAGGGTGACGGGCAAAGTGGACTGTAAGATAATAGACAAGATAAGCTCCAGTTGGACTCAACCCAGCGTTTGCGTCCAGGACCCAGCAGGACCCGTGCAGGACGCCTCCTGACTCTCTGCCCATGTCTCAACAGCAGAGCACTTTCCCGAGCACCGGCTGTGTGGCGGTGACGCGGCGGACCATGGACAACAGGCCTGTCCGGAGAAAGCGGAGCGGCGCGGTGCGACATCTGCTGCTGGCAGCCGCCTTCCTCGCCTGCAGCTCCCAACTGCTGGTGGTGGATGCCAACTCGTGGTGGTGAGTAACTGGTGGTGCTCTGATTTTGTTGAAAGATGTTCAGTGGTGTGGTGGCACATAGAACGTGGATGAACTATGACCTCAACTACAGGAGGAGAGCAACTTTAACAGAGTTTCAGAATAAGAGGTTTTTAAGTTGACACCAGCCTTTAAGCATGTTTTAAAAACTCTGTCATCATATCTTCTTTCCTGTATCTAAGATGACAAATGGGAAAAATGTCAACTACAGACTTTGTGTAACCTCTTGTCTGTGTGTGTGTTTTGGGGGTGATGTCCCAGTCCTGTTGCAGAGCTCTAACAGTGACTGGAACAAATGTGAGGGCTCTGTCACAATATTTACCCTGGCAGAGCCCCAAATGGCACTGCATGGAGGCCTGCTGCTGTAGGCCCGTCAATTAGCCACACTTGTTCTTGACTTACAAGACAGCTATGCGACAATCCTGCTGGCTTTGTGGTCATGTGGTGGAGGGTTTGTGCAGGTTAGTGGACAAAGGAAAAGGTTTTGTTACCACTTTGGGGAAGACAAATATTAACCCTTTGAAACCTGAGCAAATTGGCTTGATTTCTTTTAAAAACATGGGAAAGAAGGCAACGAGACGTCCCACAAATTGCAAAAAAAAAAGTAAATGAATAAATGAAAATAATAATAATAATAATAATAATAATAATAATAATAAATATGGTTTAAAAAAATTAACAAGAAATTTTTATTTTTTTAAAAAATATTTTATAAATCTAATTGTTGTTTTTGGAATTTGTGGGACATTTCTTACCAAGTTGCTTATTGCCTTTTCCCCATGTTTTTGAAAGAAATGACACCAATTTGCTCAGAGTTCAAAGGTTTGAATCCTTGCGAAAGGTGTCTGCAAGCAGCAGTGATGTCGCTCCAGGTTTCAGAGGGTTAAAGCGAAGGTTTAGGGTCCTCTATCAGAAACTTTTGAGCATCAAACACTTTATTTCCTGCATTCTGGTAAGAGTTTATGCACCAATTTGTGCCGTTTCTGCATTAATTTGTGATATAAATGTCTTATGTCAAAATAAAAGACTCTGATACTTGCATGCTTTTATCAGAGGCGACAAAAGCACATGTTCTTAATACTGGAAGGGACGTGTCCCCTGTTTCCACCAAAAAAATCTCTGCCTATGTTAGTGGATGCTTGTTGAGTTCACCTTTCTGTCAGTTTATGTAAAATCAAATTGGGATTTGAGTTTCATAGTCAAACATATAAATGCAATCCAAAGAAAACACACATGTTGCCCAAATTATGCCGTATCCACACTCTACACACAGTTTGATTTCCCTTTGATTGGTGAGCCTGTGGATGGCCATGAAAGAGTCAGACTAACTGTCATATTCTATGTGTGTGGGCACAGATTGCCTCTTTCCAAAGGCACAAGTAACTCAAAATGTTTGATCAGGGCACAATTGTTTGGGTGAAAAGGACAGGAGAGGAAGTAGGAGGGGAGTGGCTGCAGAGATGAACACCAGAAGAGTCTATTTATCTGCACTTTATAGGCCAGTTGTACCAATAAACTTGTGTCTGAACTTTGTCCTCCGCAGCCCCGACCTGCTCTCTGAGAGAGAGTCGTTCATCACAGAGCCCCTGTCTGTGCCACTTCTCTTTGAGCCCAGCAGATAGAGTTTATTGGTTCAAATTTAGACTTAATATGGCCTCTGTCTCTCAGGTCACTAGCTCTGACCCCAATCCAGCGGCCAGAGATGTACATCATCGGAGCTCAGCCTCTCTGCAGTCAGCTGTCTGGTCTCTCTCAGGTAAGTTCCTGTCTGCTTTAGATGTCTTAATATTTAACACTTTTCAAATATAACTCAAATTCTGTTAGAATAGAAGCTTAGTTTTTTATGTTGTGACTCGGGTAATGCCCATCTTCCTCCTCCGTACCCTGCCTCAGAGGAAATGTCCAAATAAAGCAGAATATCCCCACAGGGACCGCTGAAGTATCAAACCATTAAAGCGCTAATCTCTGCTAATCTCTCCTGTGCTGCTGCGCCGTCTGCAGGGCCAGAGGAAGCTGTGCCAGCTGTACCAGGACCACATGATCTACATTGGAGACGGAGCCAAGACGGGCATCAAGGAGTGCCAGTACCAGTTCAGACAGAGGAGGTGGAACTGCAGCACTGTGGACAACACGTCTGTGTTCGGACGGGTCATGCAGATCGGTGAGTTTGTTGTTTGATGGAATTAGGAGCAGCGTAAGCAGAGGTTATTGTCTTACGTCTTTTTCCTGTTTTAAAAGAGCTGTCAGTCAATCTGAGAGTGATAGCAGCTTCAAATCATGTGTTTCAATTTGTTTTTGGCCTCCAATTCTTCACCCAGACGTTACACATAGACATGTTAGAACAGTAGAAATGTCAGCGGTGACCTATTTTGAAATACATAATGAGCATTATCTCAGATACTTTTGAGCATCAAACACAATCTTTATGCACCAATTTGCGGTGTAAATGTCTTTAATTTTGTCAAAGTTAAAGTTTTTACTGGGTTAGCAGATGTTCTTAATATTGAGGGGGATGTGTTACCTGCATCCCCTCAAAATCTACGCTAATGATTGTAAGTAATGACAGAAAAAGTCACAGGTGACACAAAGAGTTTCATCCTAAAAACCGAACAAGAGTTTTCAGTCATGTTTGGGACAATAATCCACCTATCAAACTGATTTTTTTACTATATGGTGGCAGCATCACACCTATTTATTGTTTTACTTGGATCGTTTGACTTAAGTTATGATTATTAACGCAGCATGTTTGGACAGGTCATGCAGATCATTTGAGGTCGCTCAGATAACAGGTTGAAATAATAACACACAGAGCGGTGTGTTATTGTTTAGACAGGAATATGAGTTTAACAGTGGCCTGGGATTGAATCTACTGTAGCAGAGTGTGGACGCTTGAGTGGTCAAATTTATAGACTTACGGTTAGGTTGAACAGACTTTATTTTGGATACAATACTCTTGTAACAGACCTTCCAGCACTTCTTTATACAGCTTATAGCTTTATTGTTTTCCATTATTGTTTTAAATCTTAGGAGCCTATCATTACAAAATTCAGGCTCCATGTGTGGTTTAAACATCCAACATTCTCTGAGCGTTGCAGAGTATAAAAATGATTTTATTGAAGGATATATTTAGTATTTCTCTCCCTTTATTATTCAAGATATTTTTGCAAAAGTTGTGGATGGTACCAATGGAACCGTTCTGTACCGTCCCCATTTTTGGTCCCCCCTCTGTTGGGGTACCTAGCACACAGATCTGGTGCTAAAAGGTGGAGCTGTGGACACTGCAGTCTGATTGGTCAATAGAGGACGGTCACTCTGCTCAGGGCTGAGTTGTGGCTGGTTTTGAGGCTCATGTAACCACTGTTCATACTGTGGAGAGTTTTATTAGTAAACTGTAACTATAAAATGAAAGGATGTTTTGCTGCCTCTTGCAGCAGCTGGAGTCTGAGAAAAAATAACTTCATTCACTGGGCCGACTGCTGGTGACTTTTAAGGTGGAACATTAACTTGTAATGTTACTCGATGCATGAGTTGATGACGTGAATCCATCAACACACCTTAAATTTCATTCAGTTACTTTAGTTTTTATATGACATACACTTTTAGTAATGAGTGGAGCTTAAAGCGTTTATATGTATTAATTTGACCAGATAATGTGAACTGGATATATACTGATATTCACTTGGAGAAAAAAAGCGTTGCAGAGCATAGTTCCTGTGGGCTCCAGCAACACTAAACCCCTGAGCTTGCCTGAGAAGGACTAAATTCACAAACTAGCTATTTTTAAATATCCCATGGAGAGAGACTCTCACTGCAGCCTGTTTTATTTTGTTATGAAAATGTCGACGTGCAGCCTCGTTCTGTGGACGATAAATGAGGAAAATGAGGATTTCTCAGACCCCCTGACAGAGGTCTGGCCTAAGCCCTGCATGTCCTAAAATCCTAAAAGCACTCCTATATACAGCATATGTGGAAAAGTTTAAAACAGGCAATTCATGTTTCATATACACTGATAAATAATAATAATAATGTTTGTTCATTAACTACTGTCATTTTGCAAAAGTGGCCCCCGGGCAAAGCAAGTTGAGTATCCCTGGTTTACAGGAGCACAGCCCAGTCAACATTCGATGTGGGCCCCATGTTGTTGTTGAAAAAAGGCCTGACATGGGATTGTCCATGAGTTCCATAATAGCCCTGAGCCAGTTGCCCACATGGGTGGGTTTACCCAAGTGGGCCCCTCATCGGTCATGCTACAGCTACTTGGTCCCCAAGTGGGTATGGGGCCAAAATGGGCATCTTATCTTGGGCTTACCTGGGTAAAACCAGTCATGTGGGCAGCTGGCAGGGGGCCATCAGGGAACTGTATTAGGCCCATTTACTACCCACATGGGCCCCACATGCAAATGTTGGCTGGGAGTAGACTTAGATAGTTAGGCCTGTATATGTTCATAGCATTTTAGACATTGATAGTGCCCTAAATATTACAGAGAAAAGTGAAGACATCCACAGATTGGGACTGTAAATAGCGCAGAAAGTTTCCCCGGTAAAGTAAACAGGCCAATTTCTTTGCCATTTGCGCATGTGCACTGAAACGTTTAATTCCCATGTCATGTGAAAGCGGCAACACGCAGGGCAGCGTTCAAAACGCACACAGACTTGACAAGTAAGAGCAGAACATCAGTGTGAAACCGTGTATGCAGTAGGTGTGGTGCATATCCACAGTAGCGCAGATCCCGGATCAGTATCGGCTGCGTCTATTTCCCAGCAGGCGATGTGGGAAAGCTCTCATCAACAAGTAAGTGTCAAATCCGCTGCAGGGGCAGTGAGCCGAGGTGTTTGCTGCTGCTGTCTCTGTGTCTCCGTCCCTCTCGGCCTGTCCCTCTATTGACAGTGTCTCTGTATGTGCAGCTTTATACGGAGGTGTGAGGCGGTCCATTGTCCCGCGGCTCCTCTTTTGAAATGCGCTGATGAGCTGACACCGAGCCGGCACATCCGGACCTGCTATTTGAAGTCTGGGCTCCTGAGCCTCATAAACCTCTCTGTCCCCCTGTCCCTCTGTGTCCCTCTGTCTCTGTGTCTCTTTATCCTCCTGCTGCATAATATGTAGGAGCATCCTGACTGGGACTCTGCTCCTAAAGTCCTGAATGAAAGGCTCACACGCCTCAGCTCTGCATACCTGTCTGTCTGTCTGGCTGGTGTTGATTCCAGGCTACAGACATCCCATAATATATCACTGAGCGATACTATAAGGCTGTAAATAACACAGGAAAGCACTTTCAGTATTAAAACTGCTGTAAAATGTGCAAAAAACAACCATGTAAAACTCCAGTTGGGATATTATTGGAGTATTATAGGCAGTGATGGAGGATATTCTCCTTAAGTAAAAGCACCAAAAGATACTTAAAGTATCAAAAATAAAAGTACTCTTTATGTAGTAATGTAAATATAGGTATGAACATAATAAAACTATACAAAAAAAAATCTGTGATACTCTAATGAAAAAATCAATTTAAAATGAAATAAAATAACTCACATTAATAAAGGACATAAATTGAATTTAAACAAATGAAGATCGAACAGGTTTTTAATTTCCCATCTTTGCAGTCCAATAGAAAAAGTAATCCTTTCCATCCTAAAGATGTTGTATGTGTGGAGTTTATTTCAATTGCTTGGGTAGGTTGTGAATTATCTGTCTTATCTTAACCTATTAATACATCGTCATTTGTTAGTTGATTTATATTTCGTCTTAATAAAATTAAAATGCAAAGTAACTAGTAGCTTAATTCATCAAATAAATGTATTGTAGTAAAAAGCACAATATTTCCCTCTGACATGTAGCAAAAAATGGAAATACTCAAGTAAACTACAAGTTGCTCAAAATTGTACTTAGTTGAACAGTAGTTGAATAAATGTACTTAGTTACATTCCACCACTGATTACAGGCCAGCTATAGAAGATGCATGTAGCTCGAGTATGCTAAAATAACAATGAAATCACAGCTGATAGTAACAAACCTAAATAAATAAGGAATTCATAGGAATAAGTAGCATAAATGAATACAAATGGCAAGATTTATTATTTTTACTTTATTTTTCCAACTCTTTTTGTTGGGGTTTTCAAAGTTAAACAAACAGTGGCAGTAGTATAAACGTGAAAACAGAATTTCCGATACAAAAATATTGGAAATATTCAGCAAATCAAAAATACTTTAAAGGAGGAGCTGTCATGGATTCACCAGTTTGGACTTGGTGTTACAACCCCTGGAGTTTCAGCATGCCTTGTGCCAGGTGTTTGGGCCTTAATCACAAGACACCCTCAGTTGAGGCAGGCCCACCACAGGCTGGTCACCACACCTGGGTGTGTGTCAGAAGGTTGGCCCCTCCGTGGTCACCTAGGGGCCCTGACAGGATCCTTTCTCTTCAGCCGTAGCCAATGACTGCACCTCTCAGCTGTACTGGCTGGGTCCTTGACCACTTTCCTCTGGGACTGCTCATTAATCCCGATTTCTTTGAGGAGCCTAGTGGTGGATCTAGCGACAAAGCCTCTGCAGCCCACCTCAATCAGCTCAGCTTTCCAGACTCTAGTCACCGCTTCAGTTACGAGGTCAGCAGAGCACAATCTCTCGCGTTCAAAGGGAGGATTTAGAAGGACGTCAGTTTGACTATGTTTTGTGTGATTTAAACTGGGCTAGTTAGGGGAAGGACTTAGTGCATCTTTGTTAAAGTGGTCTATAAAGGGTTGCCAGGTCTGCTAGAATTTCACGAGGGCAGAATGTGCAGGAGCCCGTGTTTGCTTCCAGTTTAATAGTATCAATCTACGTGCTTGTAGGGTTACAGATAATATCATATTATGTTGTGAGTTGGTTAACACAAGATCAGAACCTTTAATGCCAAAGAATGCGGTCAGTGGATCAGGATCCACAGGTTGACCCAGGACGTCTGATAGCGACTGAAAAATATTTTACCAATATGTTGTGACCCTTTGGCTAGGGAGACTGGTGATTGCTCACAATGGTCGCATTCTGGACTAATATTTGGATACATTTTACAGAGCTTATTTTATGATAAGTGAAGTCTATGCAGTGTTTTAAATTGCAAAATTTTATTTGAAAGGCCAAGTGCACATTGGTAGATGGAAAAAGAAACTTTAAATACCACCAAAATTATAATACAAGGCTAATTTTGCCTTTTTTTGTTTTTTAAAAAGCACCCTAAAAATAGAAAAAACAACATTATGGTAAAATATATGAAACAATAAAACTTCAGGTACGATCAAAAACACCACACACTGGTAACAAGGTGCAATTATGGGAATGTTAAAGTATTAAAAATTGAGTAGATGCGAAATATATGACATTTTTTAAAATCAGCAGTTTTTTGTAGCCACATTGAAGGTATGTCATTGTGAAATAGCAAAATACAATCCTGTACAAGGCCATTGAACTCATCGCGGAGCAGGGCAAACACTCAAACACAACAAGAACATTTTGTGGTGACCTCTCTGTGATTTGTAATTTGAAGAGAGAAATGTCAGCCTTGATAATCAAACCTCTCTGTGGTCCTTGTGGCTGCAGTCTCAACCAGAAACACTGTGAGGCTCTTTACTGTTCACATGTAAATTTTCAGTTTCAAAGCACTTAACCTCCCACCTGTCAGGCCAGCGTCTTTGTCCTTTTCCCTTTAATGGTTTGTGTATTAATGCAGAGAATAGACATGCAGGTCGTGTTGTGTATTCCACAGTGTAAAACAAATCACTAATATGGACCCGTCTGTTGAATGCTGTGGGGCGAGGCAACTACAATGGCTACAAACTTCTTTGCTTATTTGAAACGGATTAGATTTAGAATCCATAATCGCTAATATTATAAGTATGCATGCAAATATGGTGAAAGAACATGTACCTGCCGCAGCTGAGTCAGAATTAAAGGTTCAGGCCAGTAAGATGGCGTCAGCCAAACTCCTTACTCCATTTACAATCCCTTACCTCTAGTGGTATCGACCCATGCAGAAGGGTTTGCTGAATTTGTCCAAGATTTGAGACGTCATTACTGATTTATCTGCCTTTATGTCAATACAGTTCGGGGGATTTTATTGGTGGTTCTCATTGCATTGAAAAATTACATTTAGCAGCAAGATATCTGTTTTTAATATGTACTTTTAACTCTAAATAATTCACAAAATGTACTGTTGACATATTTCATAGCAGTGGTTACCAACTGGTCCAGCCACGGGGTCCAGATTTCTCCTTAGTCATTAGTTCAAGATCCACACAGTGCATTTAATTTGAAAGAAGACAATGCATGTAACAGGCAGAACTTGAAACGGTGTCCCAGATCATCATCAACCAACACACCCAGGGTACCTTTCACATCGTATCTGGACGTGGAAAGTCCATGGCCAAACATCGATATGTGGCGAGGTCGCAGTGAGAATGAGTTGGTTTTATAGGGACTATTTATTTAATAGGTGTAGTTCCTGTGAAAACTGTTTCTTTGCTGTGAGCACCACAAATATTCATTTCACCTGACTGTGTTGAGACGGAGGCAGAAAAGACACATTAAACTGAAACTAACTGAATTCTAAATGCCACTAGAGGTGAGAGAGAAAATATGTTTTATAATCTGTCACAGTTTATCATTAGAGCTGACCAGCCAGAACAAGCACAGGTAAACACAAAGGTCAAACCACAGGGGAAAGCTGATATGTTCATTAAATGCTGCACATGTATTATGGATCACTAAGCTGGAGTTTGGAGCTGTTGAGTTTAACCAGGTACAGAGTTAGAGCCTGAAATCACATCTATTGTCTATTGTTAGGTGAAGCGGGGTGTGGGGCTGTTTGCTGTGTGTGAGTGTGTGTGTGTTGGTGGGGGGGTTACCCTGTGCAGTTACCCATGCTTCCTGTCAGTGAACACACACATTCACCACAGCTCTAAATAACAAATCGTGATGAGCTCTGTCTTCATTTTGTATTTTCCTCTCTCTCCATCAGGCTCCAGGGAAACAGCCTTCACTTACGCCATCAGCGCAGCCGGCGTGGTCAACGCCATCAGCCGAGCATGCCGTGAGGGCGAGCTATCCACTTGCGGCTGCAGCCGTGCCGCTCGACCCCGCGACCTGCCTCGCGACTGGCTGTGGGGCGGCTGCGGAGACAACGTGCATTACGGGTACCGATTCGCCCGAGAGTTTGTGGACGCCAGGGAGAGAGAGAAGAACTACCCGCGTGGTTCTCCTGAGCACGCACGGACACTGATGAACCTGCAGAACAACGAAGCAGGGAGACAGGTACGAAACACGCAACAGACATGTCCTGTTAGTTTTTATCTCAGCACTTTCCTTCTGGTAGCGAAGGAGGTGTGTGTATCCACGCTTCTTTACCCCGTCCTATATGCGCATGTCTGTAAGGAATGTGTGTGTGAGTGGAGGTGGCCTGACCTGGCAGTATTTGTGAGTGTGTGTGTGTAAGTTATTTATTGGGAGGGTCCAAATGGTATAACTGCTAACGCCCTTGGAGTCTGGCTAGGTCGCCAGGTCAATGCACATTCCAGTGTAGTAACACACACACACACACACACCAGAAGTGGGACTAAGTCATTATTTCAGGAGTCACAGTAAGTTTCAAGTCTTCGCACTCAAGTCTCAAGTCATAAACTTGCATGTCGAGTCCTAAACAAGTCATACTGCGCTCTACATCAATGTAAATGTAATTAACTACATACTCTAAATTAATCCCATTCATATATAGCTTTTGCTGTTAAGTATATTTTGAAAAATTCAATTCAAATGTATTTTTGCAGATGTGACACAGTAAAGCTGCTGGATTTTGGACACAGTTGTCCCCCTGTCCTCTACCACCCAAACTGGTCTGCAATCCATTTTGTAACGGACCTAGTCAGTCAGTCACAGGTGGACTTACTCAGTTTGTGTCTGAACGCCTGGTCGAGCGCAGCTTGACGAGGCTGGCTGCAAGTGCTAGCATCAGAGGCTGTGCTAGCTCAGGCCTCCGGGTTCACTGAAACATACCAACAGCAAACGAAAAAAGCATTGGTGCTAAGACAAAGACGTAAAAAAAAAGAACACTCATAAGTTGTCCCACAAGTTACAGGGAATTGACATATGACATCATGGTACAGTTAACCTGTTAAACTAAAGAGTTCCTCTCTGTTTGACAGGGTCAATCTAATTTTCTCTAAATGTAAAACATGACCTGATTCCTTCAGCTACATATCCAATGTTTGGATCGTCTCAGATTTTCAAAATTGAAGCAGCAGTTTTCTCTCTAGCAGTGTGAACAGAGAGATGACCTGAGCTTCATACCTGTCCTTCACTCTACCTGACTCAACCACCCTAAATAGTGCAGTTAAAGGGGCAGGGGGAAACTCCTTCTTAAAGGCCTTGGCAGAGATGACATTTCACTGTGGCACATTTTTTAAATAACATACTTTTTAATCTTTGGGGGAAGGTATCAAGTATTATCAAGTCAAAAGGCTCAAGTCCAGGTGAAGTCACAAGTCACTGGTGGTAAAGTCCAGGTAGAGTTGGAAGTCTATTTTGAAAGTCATCAAATTTGTGTCTCAAGTCTGGCTAGAGCCCAAGTCATGTGACTCGAGTCACAAGAACATGCCTGATTGTTTAATAAGATTTCAGAAGTGAAGCTGGCAAAGAGTGGTGGATGGACGAATGATGGATGGGTGGATGTGGTTTGTTTTGTCAAACCAACATACTCAGGTTTTTGAGGTATTTTGTCCCTCTCTGTTTGCCATACAGCAACAATTAGAAGCTCCAGACTTGATATTGGAGCTAAAGTTGTTTGAAAATGGTTTCAGGTGGAGAGTAATGCGCTAAAGGAAACCTTTCACCTTTGACGCACACACACTGACACACACACTGTCACACACGAACACACCTTCCTCGTAAAAGGTCCATTTGCCCGTTGTGGTACACACACTGGATCAGGAGAATGTGTTTATCTTCAGTTAGAGGAGCTTTGTTAAAGCTGTTTGCAAGACAAAGATGCTGTGTGTGTGTGTGTGTGTGTGTGTGTGATCTCAGCTCAGTTTGATTTGTGTGAGAGACAGTGAGCCTGGTTTTGTGAGTGTGTGTATCAAGGGTCAAAGGTGAGGGTCTGGAGAGGTTGTGTTTCTGCTGAGGGTCCCACTGGGGCTATAGGAGAGTGTATGAGAGAGAAAGATCTACTGCTACAGCCTTGTAACACACACACACAGTTCCTCTGCCTTTCTGTAACACACACACTCTTTTGAATGACTTTTCCTCGTCTCTCCTGTTTGATCCCTTTTTTTCATTGTTGTCTGTCCATCGAAACGGAAGAGAGGAGAAGAGAGCGATGAAAAGGAGGACAGCGAGTGAGAGGAAGACAGTTTTCTCTCCTCCTCTTCATCCCTTCTTCTCTTTTTCTTCCGTGGACACGCTGGTTTGTCCCTAAGCGGGATTTGTCTTGCTTGGTTGAACAAGGCAAACCGCAGGGCTTTTGTGGAGGTGACAGGGGCGTGCCGCTGTGTGTGTGTGTGTGGTGTGTGTGTGTGTGTGTGTGTGGGGTGTGTGTGTACTCTCAGCTCCATTTGATTTGTGTGGAAGGCGGATAACGTGGTCGTCTGTGTGTACAAGCGTCTGGAGACAGAGACGCAGGGTGAGGGATGGACCTCCGTCACACTCCCCCGACTCTCAAAGACCTACACACACACACACACACACACACATACACACAGCCACCCAGGTCCACTGTCTCCGTTTCACACAAATCAAATGAGGCAGGCCTCGTCACATAGAGCCCAAAACAACTAGATGTACATTCCCAGTCTAAAGAAAATAACAGGACACTTCTGTGCCGCCTGTTCTCTGAACACAGACGGGAACCTTCAAATTCATCTGTCAACCTGTGGATCACTTTGGTGCTTAACAATGGCCAGTTGTAAATGTTCTGATTAAATACTTCCAATACATGTTTGAAACCAAAGACAAGCACAATAAAGTGTTATTCTAAGCACCTATGTCCACTTTAGTCCTCATATCACTACTTAAACATTCACAAATGTATTTTAAATTGCGACCAAGAACACTGGGCTTCTGAACATTTCGGGATTCATGATTAATTTCATAGATTTCATAGAAATTACAAAAATTAATGCACATGACATACAGATTTTTTTCTGTTTGATGTAATAGTATTGTAGCTGCTTAAAATGTCATCATAGGCTTCAATATTTCAGAAATAAGACACAGTCTCACAGACATATGTGAAATGGACATGATCTCTTTACAACATGTTATGTGTAGGTGGGCAGGAAATGTGGTAAAATTATACTGGCAACACGAAAACAGTGCCAGTGCAAAGGCTATTATGAATAGGTAGTTCTGTTGTGAAATGGTCACAGTCAGGTTTAGAGAGCAAAAAAATACTTTGTGGTTTTGGTCTCTAATATCCATTTTATGTTGCTCTGAAAACATCAATTAAGTTCTCCTTCAAACAGTTGTATTTTTTCAAGTTTCTCACCAAATGCTACATTTTACAAGAATACATTGAACACATCATGAGACCGTTTAAATTTACCTCCGCCCAATACTCATTTTTACTGAATAGAGCTTGAACGCTTCACAATGCAACCTCCATGAGCTGTTTGTTGCGGCCACCGGCTGCTTAGAGGTAACGATAACTAGCTCTCCTGCTGATTTCAACACGAATTTGTTGTTTGTTTTTTTTAATTATTATATGTTCTTTGTCTCCACGTACACTCCCCTCAGTAGTGTATGTAGTAGTTGAGTGGGCACCAGAGAGCTTTTGTTGTTTTGATATGATAACGATTAGCGTATATCAGGGTTCACATGACAGAAGAAAGACCTTTCTATTATTTAGTAGGCTTTGCTGTGTCGTTATGTTGTTGTGGCCTTTAAAGAGTAATAACAATTGTATTAGGAAAAAATAGTAAAAGATAAACTTTTTGCTTGGCATTTGCCTGTACTGCCCTTGTTTGCCTGATGAAGGTCTAGTACCGAAACGTAAATAATTTATTTATTGCAAGTTAGACAGTGTGTGGGAGTCCTTTTGCAACTTTCTGGTCTTCTCTCTCCAACGCACCTGTCTTTTTTAATAGATGTGCGAAGTGTTTCCTTTGCCCTATACTGCCTATGCCATGGGCCGGCACTGTACAGGACATTCAAGTGACATAAACCTACAGAAACCCCGAACACGGAACATAAGAAAATACAGGCAGAGGGCAGAGCCTCTGCAGATAAATACACAACCACACACTCATAAGTAATGATTGAGAGGGATTACTTTTGTATGAGTCCATCAACAAAATCCTGCATATCTTTAAAGTAAAGTAACTATGTTGACTTTTGGTTTCACATGGGACACAAACAGCGGTCTCCTTATTGAAAGTCCATGTTTGTTTGACCAGTCCACCAGCCCTTCCTCCTGTCCTATGCAGACTTTTTGCCCTTTATGCTTAATTTGTGTATTCAGCATATATTTTTAACACATTTGGTGCCCACCACCACATAATGCACTGTGAAGACTTTGTTTCCTTTTCATGTACTTATAATATGACACAGGCTGAATACACAGAGGCTTCAGTGAATTCCACTGAAACAGATTATTTAGAGATAACTCATCTTTTGCTTTCAAGCTTTTTAACGGGAAGTTTAAGAGAAACATTTGATCCTCAGTTTGTTCCAATGGACTCTTGGAATTTTCTAAAGGGATCTTGTCAGAGGAGTCTTTGGTTTACAAGCAATAGCAGTTCTTTACAAAAACAAACTCCACAACAAATATTGCAGTCTTTATCTGTAATGCAGTCGGCTGACAATGTGCCATCACAACTCCTTATCACTATCACAGATTTACCTCAAAGGGCTTTGCCATCTGTCCAGCGCACACACCCACAGTTCAGATAAGGAGAGAGTCCCAAAAAACTTCAACAAACATCAGGGAGAGCAACAGAGGAGGGACACGCAATAGATGATTGCACACAAAGACAGAAATAGCAACAATAAAAAGACAACAAGACGAAACAGTGCGACAGTATTAAGCAGTTAGATTGTCAGTATGCTGTATATAAAGAAGATGGACACAAGAAACAGTTTATTTGTACTTGAATCTCTGATTACTTCCTTTGTTTATTTGAAAGTTACTGATTTGAATCACCAGACCAACAATCAGTGTGTGAGGTCAGTTTCTCTACAGCTGCAGAGTTCATCTCCCTCAGCTGCCAAGTTGAAGCTGCTCCTATTAACAACAGTAGAGCACTCACTGGATAAATGGAACA